ACTTCTATGATACTGATATCCACCGACCTATCTACTTGTTTGTACATTTCATTTGATCTATTATCGCTTCGGTAAACACCTTTGAATAGATAAGGCTCTTCAATTGTCTTGCTCAATAGAAAGGTACACAAAAGAATGACCGCGTTTTCTAAAACACAGTTGAGATAAAATCTCGTTCACATGACATGAAGTTTGCATTATAAGCATACAAGGTCTCGTACACGCCAGCAAGCATTGCGAGACTACAAAATGGCGGCGCCCTGTCGCCGAATGTAAACAAACCGCGCGATTGCATAAACGCTTATCTATGGCATGGAACACCAAAATCCGATAAATAATTTTAAAAAATGTGTTTCTCCGGAAGAAAACCGGAGGTTTTCAGGATTTTTTAGAAATATCCGGATTTCCGGATATATCCGGAAGACTTTCATTAATTTCTGTACATAAATGTTCGTATGTACAACCTAAGTGTCCTTGTCATGTACAAATATTGCCTCCACAGTGCAGGTATTGTCAGTCAGAGTGAACCATTAAAGATTGCTTTGTTTCATTACCAGTTACCAATATCAATAAGTTAATAGTATCCAGTCGAAGAAACAAGTTGGTAGCTTTATATTTTGATATTAATTTCATGACTACTAAATCGATGCTCATTACTAATTGGTGAAAAGTTAGAAAATGGAGAGATGTTTGTTTGAATTTGTTTCACTATCTCATGCAGAACAGTGAGAATAAATACAGTAGCTTATACTTTGCAGGTCAATGCAAAGTATACATGATGGCCACCAAAAGTTTCATGGTTAACATAGTTTCCATCTTTCATTTATAAATATATCATTTACTGTTTTGTGTTACTTTTCCATCCCACCATTCTTACAAATTTTTTATTATTGGCAATTTAAGATATGCTTTTGATAGAAAAATAAAGACAACATTGTACACGAAGTAACCTTAAACTGTGTAGTTCATATTGTATTGTCTTCTGCATGTTAGAAACTGTTGTGTTGATAGTGGTTGAAAATTTTCAGGTACCCAGCTACCTATCCGAGTAGGGTTGTTGGTACACGTTCAAACACCTATCACAAAGATAAATTTTTTCTTTTATCCAAATTTCTTCATTTGAACTTTGAATTTTTTGTTACAATATATTTTAGTTCCTTGTATACAGCACCTCTTAAGTTCTGCGAAAATGTTTAGACAAAGTTTATGATAGTTCTTCTTAGTTATCATACATTTGCATAAATAATAAAAATGCATGTAATATCATTTTATGCTTAATATATGAATTTTCAGTATAGAACTTTGCATAACAGCCATACCATTTGTTATAATCACAACCTTCTACAGTTTTCCATGCATTCGCATTATACATGGTAGGCATGTTAACTACCTAATATGAAACAGGATAAAATATGCAATAGTTACTGGTGCATGTTTTCATGTATATGATTTTCTTTGGGAATTTATGGAGTTTTGATAAGGCTGAATATAGCCCAATTTTTTCTACCTATTTCTAAAACAAATTCTATAACAAAACAACAACATTAAAAATTGTAGCAAATATGATTGAAAGTAAATCGTTTAATAAAAGTTGTGCAGACAAGTAGAACAGTTGATCTCCATGAACTCCTTATAAGTACTTATCTGAATTATAAATAAAGGCTGAATTCATTGAATGTGCACTCATATACTGTTCCATTCTATAACTTCATATTACAACTAGTGCTTTAAATGGGCCAGTACTTACTGATATGCAGTACTAGTACTTCTCATCATAGCCAGAAATACGTTTCTAAGTGCATACTACCTCTTTCTCTTTGCTGTATTTTGTGTAAACCAGCACTCTTTTTTTTTACCATTTCAAGTACTAATTACAAACAGTATTAAAACTATTATTAAGCATATAGGCATAGAAAAGCACATATTTCTTCTTTGTATATTTTAAGTTAGGCCATTCCTGGAGTACAGTACAATTATGTCGCTGTACCTGTAGGTACCTATAGATCAAATGAAAAAAAAAAAATACATTGTCATATAACAAAATTAATAATACATTTAAAATAGTTCACATACAGACAAAGATTGCTTTATCACGAACAACCTACCCCTGTATATAAAAGAATGAGGTAGTATAATTCATATTTATTGAATAATCAACAAAATGATAAATTAGAAGAAAGAATCTCTTTATAACCATTCCAAACATAGTTCTCTAAAGACATAAGCATAACTTCAAATTGAGAAATCAGGGCTAGGAACTCACTTTGTAATGGGGTTTTGTTTTCAAAAATCAGGTGTGGGTAATTCTGTACAAGTTTGTTTGTTTGTAAGTATATGTTTGTGAATTTTGTGAAAGTTTTATAAGCACGGTGGAGTTACACTATTGTAATTTCATGAATAGAAACTTCAAGCCTTTATGTAATTGTTACTGAACCTGTAGTTAATATTTAAACATACATAATAAATGCTATGAATCTTCCTAATGATTTTATTTCAAAACTTTTTACTTTAAATTTCAACAGTTATGTGCTTATAAGTGAAAAAAGATAACTTTAATCGGTGCAGAATTATGTTTGATACACCAAATGTTGATTTAGATAATAGGGCAATTCAAAAGTTATGTTAGGCTTGATGTTTTACAAAAAACTGTAAGTCTTTAAGGGTAATGGTTGACACATCCTCATATTATGGGCTTAGGTAATGAGTTATTCTAAGCACACTTTGTATGTGCTTGTGTATAATTCTATTCATATGTAAACAACTTTTCAGACAATAAGGCCAATAACAAAAAGTGTTGCACATAAAAGACATAAAATTAGAGTGAAAACAGAAATTTGGAAAGGGTAAAATGTTTCATAGTGAGTGGAATGTGGCCCACATAACAGTAAAGATACAATGTATGTCACATTTATTCTCTATTTGTAAGCAGAGGCTTACTAATAATATGTAACTGATAATATTGCAACAGAACTGTTTTAAGATTTGCTGGCCTTCGCACATAGAGTGCCTGAGATGATCCTGAAAAGTGTATTGCAATACAGGTGCAAGAGTAGATTAGTATATTCGTTTCCCATCTCTCCCATCATTGTTAATAGTGGAGAAAACCTATTAAAATTCAGGTTGATTAAAACCTGAGATGAAACAAGTATATAGCACCAGGCTTTTTTTTTTTGGAAGGGCAATTAATATTGATATATTCGAACCTGTTGAAATTATTTCTTTGTAATGTATTTTCTTGGCAAGTAAAGTGAGTTTTTTATGTGCAAATCATCTAAAGTTTGTAGCATTTCAGCAGCTATATTATCTGGATCTCTGCATTGCAAATTAAGAAGTTATTTTTATATTGAAAGAAGCCAACTTTCAGCAGAACAACTGCACATATCCATTTGTAACTGAACTTGATTCTGTGTGTTGAACCTCTTAATTAGAATAATATATATACTTCCCCTTGAAGTGATATTTTAGTATAACAAATGTAACTTAAAATTTAATTTTATTTTCTAGAAATTCTACTCCAACAAAATGAATAATAGTTTAATGTGACACTCAATCCCACTATTCATTGCCTTCCCTTTAGTCTTTCACTGCTAAATTAGGGACGGCTAGTGCAGATAGCCCTCGTGTAGCTTTGCAAGAAATTCAAAACAAACAAACCACTGTGGTTACCTCCATTTTGTAGTACTGCATGATCAACATTCTAGGACAGAATTGAGGCCTATCACTCATAGGAAACTTTCAAACCTGATGACTGTGTGATTTGTAATAGTAAATACTATAAATTATTGTATCAATATAAATATGATCTTCCACAAGTTTCTACATTTTCGTATAACTAGTGTAACTTGTTTCTACTGTAGTTACCTGCTGCTCATCATAATTCGAGGTGTTAGGATATGGCAGTTGTTGATGTAGAGTCGTTGTTTCACTTAACTGCAAATTAAATGAGAAACTCACAAACTAATTTTAATGGAGAATTATCAAAGTTTTGTCATTGAAATATTTGAAGTAAGCTCCACCCATCAATTGTGCTACCTTTTCTGAGTGTGTAGGCACACTCAGTGGTCTTGTAATGTCTCAAAGTGTGTTATAATGAGCAGGCAGCTGTAGATGCTACCCTAGAATTCCAGCATGTCACCATGACCCCATACTACTTGGTATTAACCCATTGACTGTTGATTTGCTGTATAGGATATGGTCCACCTTTGACTGTGAGTGTGCTGTGTACAGTGTATGGCTTAAAAAAATTTCATGAGTATTTAAAGCAGCTGCAGTCAAAAGGTTAATGATTGAACATTTAATACTGGCATTCTGAGGTTAATATCAAAACTCATTCAGTAGTGTGACTGAAGAAAAGGATTTTTGGCATAATGGCAGATAAGTCTCTCAAACCACTGATGTTAGTAGTAATGCTAAAATAATTTTAAGGTGCACTGAGATTTATTGTTTACAAGTTAAAAATATAATTAATTCTCTCTACAAAGTAATAGTTAAGCTTCACTTGGAATACAACGTATTGTTTTAATCTACTTGTCTAAGAAAGTATTAACTTATTAGAAAGGGTTCAGAGTGGAGTTATTAAGAGGAATCTGTAAATGGGAAAACATTTTTATTTATAAATGTGGAAAATGAATAGTCATGTCCATTCTTTCAGTACCAAATGCTAGGTTATTGAAGGATATGAGCAAATAAATGTATAAAGCCAATTTGTTTGGCCTTATAGTCTATAAGTAATTGTAACTTGTTGTAATATTGATTCTCAATAATTTGTGTTTTGTTACTTGTTTCAGTGTATTCTTTACCTAATATTTCCAAATGTTATACTTACAAAATTACAGAGTGAAGTACTTTTGAACCAATTCTGAAAATAAAAAGGTTTACTCATAAACTTTCTTTTGCTTTGTTGTAGAGAGATCTCGCGTTCAAAGTTCTACTGCCTCAAACTCACCCCAGCCTGTGGTAAGTCAGCAGTCATAAATTTAATAGGTGTATGTGTTTATATGTTTAAGTAATTACTTTTTGGCATAAATTGTTCAAGTATTTTTAATGAAGCACTATTTAGTTTCTTTAACCAGCTTTCCAGTATCACTACAGCTAATTCAAACCTGATGTTTATAATATTGTAAACTGTAAAAGCACAAGAAATACTACTTCAGCTGTGGTTTTGTATCATGCACTGATACAGTTATGGCACACAGGAACCTGTCTTGTAATGTTATAAACAATTGCAGAAGTAAAGGTATATATAACAGCATATCATAATATTGAAAATGGGTAAACATGAAAAATGAATAAGAAATATTGCAGTACAGTTTATGATGCAAGTGTTTCATTTTGTTTGTTTGAAGGTTGACTATCTTGAATACTGGTGCTTCAGTGCTACAGGATTATTATCCATGCATGAATATATATTTTAATTATGTAAAACTTGTAAGTCATTATGAGACAACCCTTCACCAGTAGGAGTGCAACACACCCTCCTGATTCATTTGAATCCCTCTATTCAAACTGTCACTTCTCCTTTAGCAGTGCTTTCATCAAGATGGTTTTTGTTTGTGCTCACTTCCAGCATTTTTATTTTATTTATTTATTCAAGATGGGATTCTAGCTATATCTGTGAGCGGAGGTAAGGTACCTTATTGGAAGTTATAATTGTACTATAATGAAAATGTATTTCTGATAGGTACTTACCTCTTCCCACCCTTCCATCTCACTGTAAACTGGTGCTTCCATTTTCTGCCAAAACTCAAAGTGATAGTTCAGTAGAATTAAACAGAGGGATTTACATGTGTCAGGAGGGTGTGTTGCATTCCTATTGGTGGAGGGTTGTGGCACATGAAAAAATTTGCATACAGAAAGCAACACTGAACAAGAATAGTTATATCTGTGAGATTATATCTATCAGAAATATGTTTTCAGTATAGAAAACTTATAACGTTAATGTTGTGTGATTAAGTCACTTGTTTAGCTACCCAATAAGGCCTGTCCAGTATGTAGTGAGTTAAAGGTGGAAATGATAATGTAGATACAGAAACAAAGTTTTATTTCAAATTTACAGTAATTCTAACTGGTAACTAAATGGTAAAACCTGGTAAAGTTGACAAAATTAGCTTGTAATTGCCAGGTTCTAGTGTTGAAATCAAGATGTAGAAATACAAAATAAATTATAAATTTAACAATTGAAATTATATGTTTAATTCTATACCTGAAAGCTTTTCCTATTCTTTCTGTTACCTAAATTTTAGTGGGAATGTTGCTAAACACTCAAGGGGTTCGTAAGGTAAATTTGGTGTAGAAACTGTTCAAGTAATAAAGAAATGATATCCGAGTGGTTTTGAGAGATAGGTTTATGTGATTTGTGTAAGGATAAATATTGGGAATATTTTGCATTTTTCAACATGGCAATTTTAAATTTTTCAGAAGAGTATGACATTTACCTAATCTTAATATTAAACACTTAATTTTATCCATATTTATCTTGAAGAAAGAATTTTACCTACATGCAGCTACCCATTCTAGTCTTATGTTGTTAAATCAATAATTTATTCATGTAGCAGTACACGTATACAGAGTGTCTCCAAGCTTTATAGGGATGATAGCTAGATTGATGACTTGTTTATATCACAAGTAGTGTTTACACCAGGTACCCACCTGTCACGACTGTTAACCGGTTCTATATTACCTACCCGATTCTTAATATAAAAAAAAGAAATGCAAAGCTTAAATCATATTAATCTAAACAGAGCTGCAGACAAACTATTATTTTTCAGAGTAAGCACAAATTAGAAACAAGCCAAAAAGTCATGACACAGAGAGTGAAGACAAAAGTGGAAGCAATCACAGTTATAGAGACTCAGATTAAATTCTAGTGGTAGGCCAGCAACATTGATTAGTAAGTCATTGATCTTTAAGGTTAACAGTGTACAAAAATCTTCAAGTACCTTATAAATCAAGTTATTCAACTGTTCGTTATACTCTCAAAATTTACTTATACCATACTAATGTTTATCTCTTCCATTGACAGTAATGGATATAGAAAACAAAGAATCAATTAGGTAAGCAGGAAATTTTGAATAGTCCATTTTAAATGTTTCGTTGTTAAATGATTATTGGCTGATTCACTACATGCAGTTAACCAACTGCATGGTTACCTGGCCCGGCATGGCCAGGTGGTTAGGGTGCTCGACTCACAACTTGTGGGTTCGAATCCCTATCCCACCAAACATCCTTGCCCTTTCATCGATGGGGGTTTAAATGTGACCAAATTATTTATGATAACCTCAATGCATTACCTTGTACTTACAAATTAAGGACCTTTTGCCAAATATTTGTTCAAGCTACTTTTTGATCCAAATTATTCCGTAGTACCTTAACAGCTAGAAATACTCAAAAATATTGTATTTAGCAAATTTTACTAATTATAACCTATTAATGTCATTAATGTAAAAAAAGGAAAAAGCAAAGGACCAAGTACTGACCTCTAATGCTCTTCACTAGTAACAAGGAACCAGTTTGATCAGGCTCCATTGATAAAGATTCTTTGCTTTCTCTCTTCCAACCACTCTACAATCCAATTAACTCTTTCAGCACGAGCTGTCTCTAGGACTGACCTCATAACCATTTTGTGCTTGTTATAGTTTTCATGCTATAACTTTTAAATTAGTAAGCATATGTTAACAGATTATCAGTAAACATTTCATACACAAAATATAAATTTTTTTTTAAGTTTTAAGGTTTCTAAAACAATGTTTTTTGCCTGCTTTTTTTTTTCTGCATGTTGCCTATCCAAAAATACTTTTGTATATTAGAAATTTTTACTAATTTCACACGCTAAATTTTATAATGTCCTGATAGTTATCAAACATTTCTTAAGTTAAAACTTTATATTTTATCTGTTATTTTCACTTTCAATAACTAATCTCTGTACAGGTTCAGTAGTTTTAACCGATCTCATAACCCCCATAAAAAATAAGGAAATAAACATAAATTATGCCTCTTTCATTCTCAAATGACAACAAATTATAACATGAAAACATAAATGTTGAGACTAAATAGCTTAAATCTCATTACATTACGCATTTATATATATCTATTATTTTTTAAA